GAAAGGTACCCGGGTCCCCAGCCAGCATAGGGTGGGGATCTACACATCGCACAGGAGTATTTTGAGAACAGGGACACACAAGCCCCTTAAGAAGAAACTTTCCATTAACGTAAGGTTGCAAGGGGTTCCCTTATTAATGGAGCTGGACACAGGGTCCGCTTTTTCCATTATTTCAATTAATACCTTAAGAAGGATATGCAGTAGTAGTGGCCTTCGAGTTAAACTCAGGCCATCCCACCTAATTCTTACAGATTTTCAGAATTCTATGGTGTGTGTTAAGGGGGGCCACCCTTAAGGTACAACATAAGGATTTTGAAGGTCTCCTGGATGTGGTGGTTGCTGAGAGAGAACGCACGAGTCTTATTGGACTCGATTGGTTCGAGGCTCTGGGAATCCAGGTCACGGGGCTGCACCATTTGCAAATGTTAAGTCTTTAGAAGTCTGCAAGGAATTTGCAGATGTGTTTAGCCCTGAGTTAGGATCCTACAAGGGCCCCCCTATTTCACTATGATTTGGTGTAAAAATAGCCCCTGGCATATTCCAAAGTGTCATGGAGAGCACACTTAGAGGTATTCTGTCCCTTCTTCAATGATGTCCTCATTGCTGGAGAGTCATGTCAAAATTTAGCAGAAAGATTAAGGGCTGTCTTGCTTCATTTTAGAAAAGCAGGCCTTAATCTAAAGCAGGATAAATGCAAGATAGGAGTCACTTCCACTGACTTCTTAGGTTTCAGGCTTGATGTCCAAGGCATTCACCCTGCTGAAGCTAAATTACAAGCCTATTCAACAGGCCTCAAGCCCCAAGTCCAAGAGTGAGCTGCAAGCCTTCTTGGGGCTCTTAAATTTCTACCATGCATTTCTCCCACACAAAGCTGCAGTGGCAGAGCCGTTACATAGGCTCCTAGACAAGCAGGCTCCTTGTTAGTGGACTAAAGTCCATGACAAGAGCTTCAACGAGGTTAAGGCCTTGCTCACTTCTAATGCTGTTTTAGCGCATTTCAATGAGCAACTGCTTGTTTGCATCGCATGTGATGCATCTCCTTATGGGGTGGGAGCTGTACTTAGCCATCTGAAGGCTGATGGGACACAGGTCCTTGTGGCCTATTATTCAAGGACTCTGTCATCTGCAGAGCGGAATTATGCTCAGATTGACAGAGAAACCTTGGCCATAGTAGCTGGCATAAAGAAATTTCATGATTTCTTATATGGCTGCCATTTCACAGTCTATACAGACCATAAGCCTTTGCTAGGGTTGTTTACTACTGACAAACAGACTCCACATATCATTTCTCCTCGTATGCTGAGATGGTCCATTTTCCTGTCAGCATATGACTACACTCTAGTTCACAAACCTGGAAAAGAAATGGGCCATGCAGATGGCCTAAGCAGATTACCTTTAACTCAGATAGAAGCAGACCTTGCTCCTGCTATAAATATTCTTTCAATTCAGGAGTTGCCTGAATCTCCCCTCAATGCTAGGGACGTGGCTGCTGAAACTGCCACAGATCACACATTTATACGTGTGCTGACATGGGTGTTGTTAGGATGGCCTGACTTGTGTCCGGATGCGACATTTCAAAGTTTTTGGCAAAGGAGACGTGCACTGTCTACCTTTAATGGGTGCCTTTTATGGGGTTGCAGGGTAGTCATCCCAGCCTCATTGAGGTCTAGAATCTTGATCTCTCTGCATGAGGGACATCCTGGGATAGTCAGGATGAAAGTGCTTGCGCGCAGCCATCTTTGGTGGCCTGGACTCGATAAAGCCATCGAGGCCCAGGTGCACAGGTGCCAAGTGTGCCAATAGTCATGGCCTGAAATGCCTCAGGCGCCAGTTCAGTTTGAGGAAACTCAAACCCATGGTCTAGGGTGCATATAGATTACGCTGGGCCCTTTCAGGGGCAATTCTTCCTGGTTGTGGTTGACAGCCATTCCAAGTGGCTAGAGGTTGTTCCTGTTTCCTCCACTACTACTGCCAGCACCATCCAGGTGCTGGGAGGAATTTTCACATCACACGGTCTTCCAGATGTTCTGGTTTCAGATAATGGCCCTCAATTTACTTCTTCTGAGTTCCAGGCTTTTCTTCAAGCCAACATGATCCAGCATAACCCTTCGACTCCCTTCCATCCATCCTCCAACGGACTAGCGGAGAGAATGGTGCATACCACCAAAGATGCCCTCAAGAAACTGACTTACGGTAACTGGCATCACAGGTTAGCTGACTTTCTTCTTGCACACCGCACCACACCTTGCATGTCTACAGGGAAGAGCCCAGCTGAACTCTGTTGGAGTCGCAGACTCATTATTAAACTGGACAGGTTGTACCCTGACGGGGTGACTTCCCAGGTGTCACATCCGCGGGCACCAAGGAGACTACACTTGGGTGATCCGGTCTGGGCTAGGAACTACGCTCCTGGTCATCTGTGGGTTCCTGCTGTCATCTGTAAGGTCTCTGGACCTCTATTATACGAAGTGACCTTGGGAGATGGCCGCGTCCTGCGGCGCCTATCGGTCAACTGCATTGGTGGTTGTCCCCTGTGGATTCCACCCCTGTATCTACTCTCGGGGGGGACGGGGCCCAGGAATTTAGTCGCACTTCAGGTCAACCTCTTGAGACACAATCTCACACTTCAGGTCAACCTCCTGAGACACAACCTCACTGCGCCTGGGATGTTCCACAGGGCGCTAGGAATTTCCTAGGGGAGGTGCAAGCACATTCTCATGGTTCAGCTATTGCGCCGAACAGAGAGTCATGCGTATCCACAAGAGCTCCAAACAGGAATTCACCTGAGGCGGGGTCTGCTAATGAGGTGACTCCTGACGCTGGCACCTCGGCCACTGGGGACTGGGAGTATTGGGGCACACCTGCAATGCAGGTCATGTCCGAGACTGGTCGCGGGCTCGAGGGACTAAGTTCCCTGGAGCCATCCAGAGCAGTTGGGGAATCCTCAGCCAATTCAGAGAGTTGGGGAATTTCAGCTGCTCTTACGGAGCATGGCGAGAGCTCTGGCTATTCTGCCGACACGCCTCACCAGGGGCCACCTGCAAAACGTGTGCATAAAAGTCCTGGTCTAGCGATCCCAACAGACGGGCCGGTAGGCCAGGCGCCCTTAATAACAAGTCCTGGTCTGCCTAGCCGGGCAGGTGAGGTGACAGGCCAGGCATCCTCCCTAACCTTGCATAAGTCACAACGGGCTAAGGCCCCTCCGAACCATCTAAGCGAATATGTGAGGTTCTTGTCAGTACAAGGGAGTTTGCAGGTCTCGGTTGAAGAGATGGGACCTTTTTGTGGGGTAGAAATGGACACGCGAATTCCACATTAGACAGTGGGTTGGTTGGCTGACTCTGTTAGTAGAAGAAGGGTGTCTGCAGGTGAACAGACTATTATTTTCTTTTGATTTATTTTATTATGAGTGTCAAGAAATGGGAATTGTGTGTATTCCATCCTGGTGGGAGGGGTGTTGTGTCCTGGGCCTGATGAGGTAACTCAGCAGGCCCAGAATTGTTGCAAATGGTCCCGGGCATTCTAAAAGCTGCCTGGGACCAGACTGATCGATGCCAGCCTTGTGCACATGTGCAAGGCGCGCAGAAAGAAGCACGCTCATTGGTTCTCGTTGTCCGGGGTTCAAGCCCTATAAAAGGCCTGCGTGCCTTTTGTGCTGGACTTGGAGTTGGAGTAAGAGAAATAAAGCATTGATTATTACAACTATGTTTCTTCATCATTCGCAAGCGAATGGAGGATTTAACAATTTATATTTAAGAATACATTCAAAGTAGAATGTAAGCTTAAAGAAGAATGAAATACATATGATTCATTAATGCATGGTTCCAAGGGAATGCATTGTTTTTCTTTTTTCTAACTTTGCTTTCTCAGTCATATATATTAGGTAAGCCATTAACAGCAAGGAAGCAGGGAAGGATGAATTCTTTTCACAAAGAAAAGGAAGTATCTGTTTCTAAACCACATTTAGCCTGAAATCTCACTCAACATGCCATTATCCCAGAAACCAGTTCTGAAAAAAAAAAAATCCCATTAGCAAGTGGAATGAGGACTTAAATCCTGCTGCATCAGACCAATGATCTTTCTAGATCATTGTAGGTCTCTTAACCAAGTATGCATTCTCAACCAATATTTTGGCTGGGGAATTCTGGAACTGAAGTCCACACATATTAAAGGTGCTGAACTATAGTCTTTTAGAAACATCTTTGTGAATAGATAGCAAAAGCACTTTTATGAAAAATACTGATCAGATAATTGTTGTGAGTGACTGTTATGAGACTACCGTATTATGGGGTTCTTTCTGAGAATCTCATAGCAGAGATACTCAACTACATTGTTTGGGAATTTGTCACTGAAAATTCTTCAGAAGCTGCAGTTTGTACAGAATGCAGCTACCAAAATTAACTTGATTTCATATTGCCAATTTTAAAAAAATCACAATTACCTCTTGTTTCCAGTTCCAGCTCAGATCATAATACTAGATTTCAAAATCTTAAAAGTTGTGGGAGGTCAGTGGTTAAAAGAGCATATAATCCTATTTCAACCCATCTCTACTTTAAATAATCTGTTGGTGGTAAACAGTCCTCTCTCTATGTAGGTGGATGGAAAACTGATGGGAGATATTTATTGGTTGCAGTAAATTAATTAAGAAATACCAGTAATACTTGAGTGGTATACTTGAGACCATCACTATCTTGTAGAAATCAACAAAATCTGATATGTTCTAATCTGTAGTATCTATATGTTATACCTACCACTTTTCAGTTCTTTGTTTTTGCTATGACTTATCCTGGAATCATTTTTTTTATGAAAGGTACCATATAAATACTTGAAGTAAATAAAATAGATTTTCACATGGGGTATTAAAAATTATGTTTGATGGCTAGGAATTTCTCTGCCATATGAAGCAATAAGTTGTTCAGTCTATAATAGATAATCTTACTGTCAAAAAAGCTCATTTACCTGCTTGCTCAGCTTTCGAATCTGTTTTCTTCCCACTGCAGATTTTTAAAGAGCACCCCCTGAAAGAAGTGTATAAAAACATCACCTTTTCCAGAGATGAAGAACCAAGGGATCCTGCACCAAATACTGCTCTGCTTTCTCTGGTGCTGATGGGAGGAACATTTTTCATTGCTTTCTTCTTGCGCAAGTTCAAGAATAGCAGCTTTTTCCCTGGCAGGGTAAATTGTGCTTAGGGCTTGGATGAAATAGAACTTTTGTTTAGACTTTTGAAAGAAAGAAACTTAAATCTGTACCTGCCTACAGGGGTTTGATCTGCTGTATTCTATCCATCATTTGAATTAAGTGCACTATAAATTGAAGCTGTGGACTGCTGGGAGAAAGGTTTTAATTATCAGCTTAAGTTACAATTATTATAGTAGAAAATGCTAAATATTTAATAATCAATGGAGCAGCAATTCATGTAGACTGAAATCCACTTACCCAAAAATAAATCTTACTGAATTCAAAGAGGCTTGCTATTGAATAAGCATACCTATAATTGCTTTAATAAGCCACAGAAAGTTATTTCACTGAATGACTCTCCTAAGAATAAATAAAAATAAGTTGCTTTTCTGCAATATTCAAACTGATATTTAAATGGACAATTAGAGAACTTGGTGGTTTGTAATGAGCATGCAAATATATTAATTGAGCATAAGGCTCTCAGTTTAAAAACCTACCTACTAAAGTGTAAATCTACAAAGGTGGATTTAAAAAATACAGACATATAGGGGAAAAGGAGAAAATATATAGGTTTTAAACAAAGGGAAGGGATTTCAGTTTCCTGCAGAACTCTTTTCTTATGGTGTTTAGCACTGCAATTTTGTATATAGAATTCACAAGGATTACTTCCAAGGACATAGATGTAGATCCGGATCCAGATGCAGATAGACATGGATTAAAAACCTGAAAGTAATCCCTGTGAAATTCAGTAAGTCTGCCATTCTATCATACTTGCTAATCAGAATATCAATCTCAGTTAGAATGGAACCTTTGTATAAATACACCCAGAATGTATTGTGCTGCAAGAGGAATGGGACATTTTTTGTATAGTGCATGTATTGACTTAAGTAGCAAAATGAACATAAATTGCATGATTTTTTATTGATATATTTCAGATGAAAGTCCCAATATAATACATATGGAATTACTGTAATTCTCCAATGTATACATATCTGTTCCATCAATTACGTTTAAAGAAAAATAATACAATAGCACACATACTGGGTGTAGCTGAATTACAGTTTGCAGATCTCTGACAATTGCTCATGGTAGCTAGAGCTGCTGGGAGTTCAGCACTGTTTGACGGTCCACGGGTTTGAATCCTACATTAATAATCAGTGTGTGATCATTTCCACACTAGCAATTTCTAGCATCCTTTATAGTCATTGAACCATAATTGGGCCAAAATAATAGTAATGAGGATAGACCTTACATCATTACAGTGATAGCTGAAGGCATTGTGAAAGTTCTACCAGTTATTAATGAGGAAATTTCCTCTAAGAACAATTTTTTAAAAGTCCCCTGTTCTTACTACGCATAAAGAAGGCCATGATTTGGATTTTAGAGCAGAGTTTCTAATGCATTATTATCTTTTCTTTCAAATGTAGTACGGACAGCAACCTAGAAGTTGGGAATATCTTCTTTACTTCTGATTCATCAACCCACCCTCTTCCCTATCCCCCAATCATTCTTGCCAGGTTAACATACTTCTTATTTTTTGACAGCTTCGTCGGGTAATTGGTGACTTTGGTGTCCCTATTGCCATCTTTATCATGACATTGGCAGACACTCTTATTAAAGATACCTACACTCAGGTAATTTTTTTATTTCTTAATGTAGCTCCTTCCTCCTAATTTCGTTTCCAGTCTAATGCCCTTTCTGTGCAAAAGGGAAGGCAAGTGCTCATACACAATCCTCCTCTTTGAATGGTTAACCTGATCATTTTTCAAGAGACAATCTGCCCAATTGCAGAAGTTAGCTGCAATGGCCATTGAATCTGATTTCAACCCTGAAAATGGAAAAATTCTTATATTGCATCAGAGGTCTTGTAGAGAACAGAAAACCCTGTACGCTTGTAGTGAATGGAAAATTGAAAAGAAATTCAAAAAGGCCATCGAATCTTCCCCTTTGGTATACATATCCAAAGGGAAAAGTTCTACGGTGTTAAATGACTGGGGTGGTCCTGGTTTTCATACTGGGATCAGCAAGATCCTGACAGGTCTAGGGACCATTGATTTTTCTCTTCTTCTGTTGCTTTTCCTAGAAATTGAAGGTTCCCAAAGGCCTTCAAGTCTCCAATCCTGAAAGGCGGGGTTGGTTTATCTATCCAATTGGAAATGAATTCCCCATCTGGATGATGTTTGCTGCAGCTTTGCCAGCTCTCCTGGTTTTCATTCTCATCTTCTTGGAGACACAGATCACCACGTAAGAAATTGGGGAAAGATGAAAAAGATGGGATAAAATGAAGATAAGTGAGGATTGGCCCAGGAATGAAGTAGATCATGTATAAGTATGATTGTATTATTTTATTATTTTATTGTTAGATGATTGTTTTAATTTTGTACGCCGCCCTGAGTCCTTTGGGATTGGGCGGCATATAAATAAATAAATAAATAAATAAAAATAAATAAATAAATAAATAAAAAGGCATGCAATAGATATAAAAAGAGAGAGAAAAGAAAGTCAGGATGCAAGAAATGGGTGATTATGTGGTTCCAATTTTACATTGATTTCATTTAAATTACAGAATAAAATATGTAGATGCAAGTTTGACAGAAGATGTTTTGGTAGATCCTGATAGCAGAGAAATCAGAGCTATAATACAATATTAATATAGCAAATAAATATTCTATTTTAATTTTGCTATTGCTTCAGGCTGATTGTAAGCAAACCTGAGAGGAAGATGCTGAAGGGTTCAGGTTTCCATCTCGATCTCCTTCTTATTGTTGGAATGGGAGGTATTGCACCACTTCTGGGCATGCCCTGGCTGAGTGCCACCACGGTGAGGACTGTCACACATGCTAATGCTCTGACAGTTATGTCCAAGACTACTCTGCCAGGAGAAAAGGCCTGCATTCAGGAGGTCAAGGAACAGAGGGTTACTGGCTTCCTGGTGGCTATTCTTGTGGGTGAGTTTTCCTACAAAAGATTCCATTGATCGTATTTATTTTATTTATTTCAAGTTTTATAAGTCTGTCTAACTCAGACAGTGTGACTTTGATCAGCATGCAACATAGACACCCAATACATTTTTTAAAAATGAAAGCTATCTACAATTATAAAATATAAATGTAAAATGGCAAACAAGCACACAACAAAATAGCCACAAACGGGACTCCCACTTTTCTAGCCCCTAATGCCTGAGGAAGATGCCAAATCTTAAGGACTTTTCTAAAGACAAGCAGAGTTTGGATCTATTGTGTATTGGCAGTAGTAGGAGATGGTTCCCTATAGCAGGGCAATAAAAAAAGGCACATTTCTTAGGACTCTATAAGATTACAAGATTTAAAAGAAAGAACTGTCACTGATGGAATATGTGGGTTGAGCCAAGGTTCTTGGGAGAAGGCAGTTCCCCAAGTAATCTTATCCTGTACTATGTAAGACTTTAAAGGTAATCACCAACACATTTAATGATTGTCAAAGGATTAGCTTAAAACAGCCTACATCCTGTTCATGTTTAAAGTAGTTAAACAACAAATGATGTGCCTTTTTAAAAAAAGAAAATAGGGTCTAAATGCAGATACAGGTGGTCCTCAACTTAGAACCATTTATTTTGTGACTGTTCAAAGTTCAACAGCATTGAAAAAGTGATTTATGAACTTTTTTCACATTCTCTTGGTCATGCGATCAAAATCCAGACTCTTAGCAATTGGTATGTATTTATGACAGGATCAGTGTCCCAGGATTATGTGATCATCTTTTGTGACCTTCTGACAAGCAAAGTTAATGGGGGTAGCCAGATTCACTTAACTGTGGCAAGAAAAGTTATAAAATGGGGCAAAACTCTCTTAACAACTGTCTTGCTTAGCAACAGAAATTTTAGGCTGTGGTCATAAGTCGAGGATTACCTGTGATAAGGCTTGAACAGTGTTTTGCATTATCTTAGGGCTTGCTTGCAGTGCATATATAGAACTTGCTAGATTATAGATAAATGAGCTTTGAGAAACTCCTTATTCCCATCATATTCAATTTAGCTGTTCCTCCTGTTGTAACAAGAAGTTGTAATCATTTTTAAAATAGCTGAATGTATAACTGTTTAACCCAATATGCAAAGAGCTCTTACATTCAGGGGAAACATATACCTTTGATAAGCCAAAACTGGAACCTGGTGATTAGGAAGACTGATTGCTGACTTTGGGCTCTGCTTGAGAGTGTGGTATCAGTTATCCCCAACTGATACCAGTAAGAAAAACAGCAGGCAAGATTACTTTCATTATCTCTTCAGATTGGGAAGGAGAATGTTACAATTGTTCCATTCCAATGGAGTGATGCATGTGCATTGTATAATCTTTAATTACATTAATCTTTTAAAATCAAATCTCTTTAATCTGCAGCATTGTCTTTTGCTTACCTACAGGCCTGTCCATACTCATGGAACCTATCTTGAAGCTGATTCCACTTGCAGTACTCTTTGGCATCTTTCTTTACATGGGGGTGACATCTCTCAATGGAATTCAGCTATATGACCGCATACTTCTCATGCTGAAGCCACCGAAATACCATCCAGATATATCTTATGTTACAAAAGTAAGCTTTGAAGGCATAACTACTACATTTTTCTTGAGCTGTGAGCTTGAGAATTGCTGAAGTGGGGAAAACAGATAAATCCATGGGTCAAGAAGTTTGCTCCCTAAATATTAGTCCCTGATGTTGTCTATGACTTCCACATAGAGTGTTAATATTACTTCTACCTCCTTGGGAAACCAAGGTGATCTTCTGCATTAGTTATAATGCAAATGGCAAACTGTTTTGTAATTTGTAATGTTGGGATTCTGCAAAGTTTGAAGGTGAATCATTTTCTGATTTACAGGAATTCTTGTTTTAACTTGTCATTTCCCATCTGAAATTTCATGATCATATCAGTAAACTAGATTTTGATCTTTCTTATCAGTTTTCAGGTAGTTTTACTACCCTTGTAAAAAAAAAGACTATTTTGTTGATTTCCCCCTGCTTATATAAAAGTCCACATCAAAATTCTTGCTGCATTGTGCCTCTGGATTCAAGTGGGCATATAGTTCTGACTTCCAATGCCCATTCATACAGAGGTTTTACACTAAAACTCTATAACCATGATTATAGCTGTTGGAAAAAGAACTTGGCTATAGCATCATGATGCCATGGCTTCATTACTGTTTTCAAGGAATATACCGTAAATCTTCAGAAAGACTATTCTCATGGGAGACATTTGCAAACAGCTAGAAAACCTGAGATGACATAAGCAATTTATTCTCTCCTTCATTTTTATGTGGTATAGATTTTGATTGTTCCAGGAACAACTGTAGCTCAGGGAGCAAAGCAGCAATCAAAGAATTTTGTCCCCCTGCTATCGGATGACTGGAAGTTGAAATTTCTTGCTTGTTCTCAGTGTTGCAATCATGGGAGGGGTTGGGAGAATGAAATAGTGACCTTTGGAAGTGTCTGTAGACAAACCAAAGACGTAATGGAAATATATACTTCTTTCTGGGCTTGTTTACCTACTTCATTAAAGTGTTTATTATTTGTTTGTTTATTTATTACATTTCCATACCACCCATCTCAATTAAGCGACTATCGACAATTTACAACATTAAATGAAAGCTTGATCAGAAGTGTCATAAATTCTTTTATCAAAGCTTAAGCATTTCTGTCTTCCAATTTGGAGGGCTATCACTGAAAGATTATGGAACCAGAATTTTTAAAACTCTACCAGATTGATCATGGGACAAATATGTAATAGAAATACAGCCACTGAATCATAAGCTAACTACAAAGGCTTTTTAGGGGAAAGCATGGTAGTCAACAATAGCAAAAAGATCAGGAATCTGGATACTAACAAACATTATTAAAAAGCATGGTTTTTTTTGTGAGCTGCAGCGGACTACATCAGATGCACTGTACATCACCCAAGCCATTCTATGCATTTGATTCTTTCTGATTAACCACAAAAGTTGAATTTGCAAAACAGACTATTGGGCTAATGGGCTAAAAAATGGCTGCCTAATTTATGTCTCAGTGTGCTATAAGATCAGTCACTGAAACCAAAATATGACCAGGAAGGCTGGTAACTGAATGATAATGCCTTTGCTTTGCATATCGAAAAGCTACAGAACAGGCCTCTGCATGAGATCTTGGAGATGTGTGATGGCCAGAGTTTGACAGATTAATGCTATCAGTGATATCATCATGATTCATAGAGAAGTATGCCTGGTTTTAAGCCTAGTCTGTTAAATAAGCCACAATAGTAAAGCTCAAACCTACATTAAGCCATAGTTCATAATGGCTAAATTCACGTATCTAGATTAAGCCATAATTTTTGCTACCCTTGCTGTTGAAATTTCGGTGGCTGAGTTTTATTTAGTTATTCCATTTCTGCAACCATCCATCTAAGCCAGTGTCTCTGGGTGGTTTATAGTTCTAAGAATATAAAAACACTTAAAACATAAAATAACATGAATTTTCACATAATAGTGTGCCATATACTATGCTTAACAAACCTCAATGGCAGGACTTACACATTGCATCAAGAAAAAAAACAAATATTATGAGTTTACATGGTGTGCCATTCATACATGTGTACTCATATACATATAAATTAAATGCCATTGCCAAGCCAACATTGATTCTGGCCAGTGGTTGAAGGAAAGAGCTTCTAACATTGCCGTTTCTTTTCATCCCAAAGGTAAAGACCTGGCGTATGCACATCTTCACCCTCACCCAGATTCTCTGCCTAGGATTGCTGTGGGGAGTGAAATCCAGCCCAGCCTCCCTTGCCTTGCCTTTTATACTCATTCTGACTGTCCCTCTTCGACGTTTCCTGCTCCCTGTCATTTTCAGAGACATTGAGCTCAAGTGTGTAAGTACTGTTGTGCTCTCTCTTCTCCATGAACAAAGGGAACTTCTGATAGAAAACTTATGTACATATTTAAGTATTTCTTTATTTAAAAGATTTGTGTGGCTGCCCATTTTAAAGTGCAACTCTGAGTGGCATAATCTGCAGGTAAATAATGACAAATTATTTCCTGAAAGAAGACTTACCCACATCCAGAAAAGAATACTATGTGCACCTACAATTCATATAGCAATATATCCTCTCAAAATATTCTCTCAAAACATCTGAAATGCAGTTGATGGTGGACTCAAGAGAAGTATATCTATATTCAATTCCTATTTAAAGTTTGCAATTTCTTTCCATGAAATGCAGCCACACTATCAATATGAAAAGCTTTAAGAGAGAATTGGCTACCTTTATGGATAATAAGAATTACCGGTGGAAGAGCAGAACTGTATGTCTCTTCTAGAAAAAAAGGCTGCAGAAACGTGTGAGGCCACTAGTGTGTATGTGTTGTCTCTCAATTTAGCAGTTATAGTCGAAGCTTTTTTTTTTTAATTAGCATCTGAGATGGAGACTTTCTCACAGCCAACCTTGTAGTCATCTCAGAAGATCTCATGACCCCAATAATTTTCATGGCACCAATAACAATAATTTGTCAAAGCATGCAAGTTAGAGGACACTCTCATGAGGTGTAGTCACATCCATCTTGGTCACAGCTGAGGCCCATGTGGAATGGATTTTTTTTTATCTCTGAGAAAGAGCTTTGAAGTGCAAGGCCAATTGATTTATGTGTTGGGCCCACACAACTCCTCACCTTGGATGCTTATATGCATGTATGAATGAGAAAGCCAAGAACAGCCTGTCTTTCTGTGTGGATATAATGCAAGATGAATTAATCTTTTTCCTAAGAGGCATAGTAGCAGCAGAGGTCATCATGCTTTTCCCTCCTACTGAACTTGGTGGGGAAAAAATTATGTATAATGTGAACTATGCTTTGACTGGATTGGGGTAGTGGTGCTGCAATATAAAATAAATTAAAATGCATTATAATCTTCTCTCATGTTGCTATAGTTCCCACAATACATACTGTTGCCCTACAATAGTATTTCCTCTATTGGAACAGATCTACTAGCAGAATGTTCATTGGCTTGGGTATTCCATTAGCGTTATCTGTCACTATATGTGTCTCCTTTGAATTTTTATTGAATTTTAATGTCAATCAAAATTGTCTATAGGATTAGTTTTTCCCAAATTATTACATAGTGTGTGCAAAGTGGCTACTGCTTTTGTTAGTCATGGCGGAATGGCATGATTGAAGAAACATACTCATGTTGATATCTGGCAGTTCAGAATTAGATTGGGCCCAAAGCTCCTCTTGGTCTGGATCCAAAATTTGATGTATCTGAGAGAACACAAAGAATTTGCATTATTTTGGTCTGTGGTTATTTAGCCCAAGAAGGAAATTATCAATGAATTTCTGTGCACTTCAGATCATCCCTAATAATGAGGATGCACCACAACATAAGAATAAGGAACTATATAGGAGAGTTGAATATATATGAATTGGTGAAATAACAACATCAATTATTTGTTTGTTTAAGAAAATATATACAGTATGGCCGCCCAATTCAATCTCAGTTACTCCAAGTGGCTTACAAGGATAAAAGCTCAATACAAAACCAATAAAAAAATCAGTAACTTCCTATTCCCCAGCAACAACTATCAAGTGAGACATTTGATGGGCTCCAGAGATCACCATACCCATTGGCAAAGTCACATTTTCAAGCCTTATGAAAGAGTGCCAAGATGGGGGCCAATTTCATTTTCACGGGAATGATGTTTCATACAGTATAAGCCACCACAGAGAAGCCCCTTCTGCTTGGTCATACTAGATGGAGCTCCTTATGAAAGGGAATCCATAACAATCCATGCTCTGGTGGAGAGGGTAGATGTGACTGGGAAGACAGTCCTTCAAATAACAAGTTCCCAAGCCATGTAGGGCTTTGAAAGTGATAACCAGCACCATTATATGTGCCATTAAGTTGCTGTCAACTCTTATTGCCCACTTGAATATATTTTTCCATCATTTATTTATTTATTTATTTATGAGACTTATATACCGCTTTAAGTGCAAGCACTCTCTAAGCGGTGTACACCAGTAAGCAATGTATATATATATATACATTGCCCCCAACAATCTGGGTCCTCATTTTACCTACCCCAGAAGGATGGAAGGCTGAGCCAACCTTGAGCCGGTGAGATTTGAACCTGCTGAACACAGTCAGCTAAAGTGGCCTGCAGTACTGCACTCTAACTGCTGCGCCACCTTGGCTCTAAATGCTCAGCAGAAAATCATGTTTTGAGATTCAGTCCTGGTATCTCCAGCTTAAAAGGAACTCAGCAGAAGGGTTGAGATAGATACCCCTGCCTTTTGGCCTTGGAGAGTTACCATTTTTTAATCTCTAGTTCCATATTTAATCTTTAGGTGGAATGTCAGAGGCAATATTTTACAAAGTATATAAAGCAGGATGAAGCGGATGAAGACAGTATCAAATCTAAATTAGGTTTCATTTAATTAATTAAAATATAGTTAACTGCAGTTATTACAGCTGTTCCCCATATAATTGGTATTTTTCATTTCAGTTTTCAGTTTTTTTACTGAATATTGGATTTTGTTGGTAATTTTTGGAGAGTCACTGAAAGCACCTCCAAGGCTTGGAGAAAGCAGCTTTTACAAATGTAGTGCTACAGATTACACACCAATGGAATAAATAGTACTAGCTTATTAATTATCTGATTCTATATAAGCCGGCTTCATATATAATGACTATTTGAAACTACTTAATCCTTTGCAAAGGAAAAAAAATCAAGATTTTCAAGGTTTAAGTATAACCAGGGCTTTTTTTGTCATGGAATGCCCAGAACAGAGTTCCGGGACCTTTTTTGGATGGAAGCTTGTAGGGTAGGCAAGGCAGGTTGTATAACGTATGTGAGTTCCGACATCTTTTTTTTTTTTTTTACAAAAAAAGCACTGATATAACACTCTGTTTCCTGAGCCCCACTGAGTTTCTAAATGTATTTATTACCTTCCAGTTAGATGCTGATGATGCTGAGGTGACTTTTGATGAGACAGAAGGCCAAGATGTCTATGATGAAGTCCAGATGCCTATTTGAGCACCCAGCTGCTGCTGCCACTAGGCAAATGAAGAACCAAAAATTCTTTCCAAAAACACTGGATATCAGAATCTGGAGGAAGATATCCATATAGCTATATGAATCAGAGTATATATATATATGTTAACAATTACACTAAAAATATGATCCCTGGGTATATCCATATTTAAAACCAAACAAATAAATGTGAGCACCCCCTCTTTAGGTGTGCAACTAAACAAAGTGGGTGTGGCAATAAAGCAAAAAAAGAGGGGGGACGTTCCATCAAACCCCGAATTTGGCAAAGAGAAAACACCCGATGACAATTACACAAGCAAGAAATGCAAGAAAGCAATTATTGCTAATAAGAAACCGGCAACCGAGAAACAGCCTATTCCATCAGGCCCAATGACAAGATCTAGGAGCCGGGTGCAGACTCTGGCCAATCTATAAAGAGGACTCTTCTACTGACCGGCATTTTGAGCCCTGATGATGTCAGCAGTTGCTGACGAAAGCTAGGCGTTTTATTGGTTTTATTGTAATTTTATTGACATTTTACTAAATTTTATTAAATTTTTTAGCACTCCCTGGTGCTCGCTCACATTTATTTGTTTGGTTATATATATATATATATATATATATATATATATATATATATATATATATATATATATATATATATATATTTTACATGGCCAAACATTCCAGTGGTGTAAATATATATGATTGTCAACCCATGGATCCTATAGGATTTAAGAAACATATTTTTTCCAGTCAATTATAGTTCTATAGTGAATCTTAACATTTCTTTCTTAGGGTTTAGGAAATAGATGTATTTTCCCAGAAGGGGAAGAAAGTACCAAGATATGCAAGGATTGTTGAAGATATGATACATGTTAACAGTGGACTCCATTTTTAATGCAGCTATAACCCATATGCTTCTCTTCTGTATTTGTGTGTTTGTGTGTGTGTGTGTGAAGCTTTATCAGCCATAGAGGAAACCATCTACTTTTCTACCAAGATAAGAAACATTTTTACTACTCACATTGCTAGACCATATACAGTACACCAATGAATATCTGTAGACATGTTTCGAAAGAAACGCTGAAAACCCATCATTGTTCTCTGATGGACCATCAGAGCAGATGCTTCAGAATGCTAGAGTGGACTGAAGCTAAGGAGAAAAGGCAATAACTCTTTCTTAACCCCTGGAACTGTAGAACAGGAAAAAGCTGGAGCATGAAAGTGAGGCACAGAAGAAACACACTGAGAGTGCCATATTGGCAATGGAAAGAAGCAACAAACATAATCTCAGGAATGGAAGTGGCAGAAACATCAGGTTTCAAGGACCAAGAACACTCATTTGATGTGAAATGCTGATAGGTGAATCCAAATCCATCTCTGCCTGTCAAATGGGGATGACACATTTGAAAAATTGGCTTCCTTGGAATGCTAGTCATCTTTTCCTTTGAAGATGGATTTCATTTTTTGTGAACTCATCCTACCTTTCCTGCTGAAATGTGAAGTATGGTAATATGATGAAGGCATCGTCCAAAAGTACAGTTCTGTCTTGGTTACTTTTGTTCCTTGCTTTTTCTTGTGGTTAGGTTTTTAACAAATGCTATTGTTTTTTCTTTAAGCTGGCATCTATCTAAGTCCCTACCTGGGAAAATGTGCCACTTGATAAAAAATTAATATATTCCAGATTATAATAATAAGACCTGTAAATTTGAAAGTGTAGGCATAAGTAACTACTCGATGCACATTAACATTCAGAGATTCTTAGCTTCCAATTAAATAGCAATTGCTATCCTTAAGAATAGAAAAAAATGTGTAAATCTCACCAATCAGTCCTTCCTTCCGCCCTCTTGCTTATTAACCATTCTAAAGTATTTAAGCATTCCTGCATCCAAGAAGCCATTCTAAGCTAATGTCTGCAAACAGACTTAATTTAGAGACTGTTATTGCAAAATAGGCTTTAATTTTTGCATGCCTTGATGTTTCACATGTGTCAATCTAATAGTATATATATCAATATTGAACTTTCTTCCTCTCTCATTTCAAGTCTCTGTACTGGGTGTTGACTCTTTTGAGTCCTCATTAACTTTTACTTGCCCAAACACTTTTCAAATGGTCTTTGACAATCCACTTTTTCCTTTTTAGTAATGTCAAATGTTGCCCACTAAAAGTTTGTCTTCTTATGGTTTTTTCCACATGATTGTAGCAATAGTGATGAATATAGGATCTATATTAATGCAGGATCTATATTAATGCAGTAGGTTCCCCTTCTTCCTTAGAATATTTGAAAATATTTCTCATGGTGGTATGAATTCAATACTGGTAACAGTCATTTCAGCAATATTATTATTTGTTATTTCCTTAAAATAATAAAGGTGCTAAGATCAACAATATCTGGAGTCCTTCAACTTGTCAATGCCCACCTTCTAATCCCAGACATACATAGACTACTGTAGTGCTGCGTTATGAGTGAAAGCTTTCTGTGCATGATGAAGATGCTTTCTCTTTATTATTTTACATTATCCAGAGTGAATCATGGTTCTAACCATGCACTGTTTAACATTAATTTGATTAGGAGAAGGTCTGGAGAAAAAAAACGGTAATATTTTCTCTTGCAATGCATAAACAATTTATGAAACTTATTGCACCAACGTATAAAGATGGACATTAGCTTATGTGGCATTAAATAAAGGATTTGGTATACAGTATAAAAAGTGACCAGATCAGTATGTATTAGTCATGACAGCCAAATGGAACTTCCTTCTTTAAAGATATTATTGCAACACAAATTAATGAGATGACCATTGTTATTGTGTCCTTCATGTGAACTTCTCAGTTTGTAAGTGATTTCTGTTAAAAGGGAAAAAAAACTGGTATTCTGATCTGTGGGGTTTTTATGTTATTAAAAGAGAAAGAAAATCAAAATAAAAAATATATTTAGCCTTGGAACCATTGGCCAGATCCTCTCCCTGATAAAATTCTATACAAAAATTTCAGTTTGAATTAGCAGAAAGCCACTGTATCCTGAAAGCCATTTTATAATAATTGTTAATAACAAACTACAGGGATTCTACATTAATTCTGTAGTATCATTTGCACTGCTTTTATGCCTATAGGGGGTCTAGATGGATTTCTTTGTCTTTATTAACAGTGCAACAGATACGAACTCATCAACTAAATCTAGCGGGTTACAATAGGCAAACTGTATCTATAGATATCTGGTATACCAGGTTTTTTTTATTCTTATTCATTAGATTCTTCCAGGTGTTCAAAGTGACATGCATAATACTCCCTCTCCAATATCTCTGCACAGCAACAATCTTGTGATGTGGGGTGGGATGGGCTGAAAAATAGTAGCCCACCCTATAAATTTCCATGACCAAGGATGGCTCTCATCATAGCCCTAATAATCCAACACCTTAATCACAATACACTGTCTCTCAGTTATTAACACATTATAGATATAGGATCCCCTTTCCCCACAGTAAGAATTTCTTTATAACTAAAGAGTACACTAATTTAGTGATAATGGGCTTTTATAATTTATTAAAAATCATATTTAATATTCCATTTGCTTTACTATCTCTGTTGTATCAGATTTTTTTAACAAGGGCAGTAAGAAACAAGATCTTGGGATAACATGTTGCATTTATTTTATGTGATCTTATTTTGATTTAGGCATGATTAAGCCAATATTATTGCAATGGTTTTCTTGTTTTGAGCAATACCAGAAGCAATAAATCTATTTTTTAAAATAACAACAAATAAGCTGTTCTTCACCTATAAATAATACTTGAAAAAAGTATAATTTTGTGATTTAGTGCTCCCCTCATGGCCTTCTCAATGGAAATTGGTTAATATTCCTCTAACAGATTGGTGAGATCAGTCTTCTTTCTATTTCTAGTGCTAAATGAAGTTTTACAGTCTACCAAAACAAAGCTAGAAGAAAATGAGAAATCACACCACACAAAAAACCTATAGCCAGTCCTGATACTTTATAAGCAGTTGTTGCTATTAATGGGAGGAGGAGGAGGAGGAGGAAGAAGAGTACCAGTAATTTTATATACAGGAGCATTTAATCACCTAAGTCCATATTCTCATCTATGATATAATATCTACTGAAATTACAATGAAAAAAATCAGAAGTTATCTTTTTCCCAAGATAAATTAAAATATTAAAAAGGCAAAGGAGTCCCTGTGGATTTTATTCCATTTCAAGGCCATTCAGCCAGCACTGCCCAAAGACATTTCTGCGGTCATGTAGCCAGCATGACATTACGGAATGCTGTTACCTTCCCACCAAAGTGGTACCTATTTATCTACTTGCATTTGTATCCTTTCAAAATGCCAGATTGTCAGGAGCTGGAGTGAGGATGGGAGCTTGGATCTCAAACCTGGCCTGCCAGCTGACCAACAAGCCCAGCATTTTAACAGCTGAGCCACCATGCCGCCCATAAATTAAAATTAAAATATGGGGAAACATTAATAGATGTAGTACTTGCTCCCCCATCAAAGCAGGACTTATTTGATTAACAACATTACATACATTTTAATTTAGTGTATTATAATGACCGACATATTTAAGAAATTTTCAGTGAAATCTTGTATACTTCTGAGAATGCCTCTTTCCCATTCTTTCTGCTCACCAAAGCAGTCTAACAGGGAGGGTATCCTCCAGTCCCCTTCATCAAACAATTCTATCTTGTCAGACCCTGGAGTTGTGCCATCTCTATGACTGCATCTGCCTTATGGAACATCATCCATCCAGAGATATGGATAAAGCACTGAAGACCTAGGCTTTGAAGTTAGGCAGTTAGGTGAGTTTTGCTGGTGATATCTTTTTGTTTTGGAAGTTACTGTTTAACTTGATCTCATGAATTTATATAGTTATGGTGGTTTTAAATTTTTCAATGCATCCAGAGTCACTGCTGTGAAATGGGTGGCTCTATAAATCATCTAAAAACATAAAGATGTGGTATTCTCATACCCTGGCAGTACAAAGAACCCTGCCTAAAATGATAAATGTACTTGTGGGAACACCTGTTGTTAATAAAAGTAAAGAAACCATTTCAGATTTAATCCAGATATCTGGATGTGGACTGGAAAACGCTACATTACTAATACGCAACCAAGGTATTGAGTGGAATCTGAAATGTTGTAGCCCAGACCTAGAAATATGACAAGCCACAAGCATAATGAAAAATGCTATGCATGATGTGGGTCAAGACAAAAATAGTGGTGTGCCACTCATTTAGTGGTTTAACATTTCATGCAAACAATAATTTGGTGTAAAGAGGGAATGGTCTTGAGGAATAGGAGGAAGAGCCACTACCATGATTAGAGTCAGATAAAAAAGG